AAAAAAAAAAAAAAAAAAAAAAAAAAAAAAGTAATGGATTCTCATTCTTCTAAAATTGATTTGCAATTAAATTGAATTGTAAATTTGTGTGTGTGTGTGTGTATGTATCTTTTTTGCTCTTTCAGAATCCATCCTTAAAATCAAAAATTAATGATGGAGAAGAAAAAACAGAAGGAAATTCACAAGAAACAGAGGTCAGAAAACTTTGCAATTCATATTATGTGTGGCTGTGATTCTGTATACTAAGCATTGTGACCCATTATAAGTATATAAGTATTATAAGAAATTTAAGAGAAAATTCTGAATCATGGTTCTGTGAAAAGCTAGTTTATTCTTTACTGGAAACCTTGTGGAGGCCACATCAGGTGTAGGTTGGGAGAGAAGATGATAATAGTTTTCTGCAGGGAAAGGAAAGGTTGACTCTGGAAGGTGCCCTCAGTTTGTAGATGGTTGGGATAAGTCCTTTGTAATATACTTTTTCTCACTTCTTGTCAGCCTTTCAACCAATGTAGAGCCCAAGCTCTTATACTATATACTGCTTCCTGCCTCCAGAGGTTTCATCCATCTTAGTGGATGAATCAAGTAGCCATCTCTGAGTATAGGCAGATGAGAAGGGAATGGCAGTCCAAGGCTCTGCCTGATCACCCAGACTTTCATTCTTACTGTCCTCCTTGAATCCTTAATGAAAATGATCTGTAGCTATGGGGATGGTATTATGGCACCTGCTACATCTGTGACAGAATGTGATATATGTCTATGTGTGTGTACTCAATATATACCCAATATTTGTTAGTTTCATTTAGCCTACCCTCTAATTTCTGATAATAAATACTTGGGTATTCTGTCTTATTTCTGAAAATAAATACTTGGGTATTCAATTTTTCACCTGTTTGTGTGTTTTAACTTTTTTTCTTCTTGTTTATTTTAGTTCCAGAGATGTGAAAGGGCTGAATCATTAGCGAAAATAAAATCAAAGGCCTTTTCAGTTGTCATTCAGGTAAGTTATTTCTTTAATAAAGTAATTTGGAAATTGACTGACTGCTTTTTAAATTACATTTCAGTTTTTCATCAAAGTAGTAATACATGTACTTAGTTTTAAAAGTCAGATAATACTAGAGAGATTATGTAGCACAACAGTTCTTTTCTCTGCCACTTTCCACCCTTGTATTCCTTAACCTTGAGAGGCAACATCTTTGACTTTTTCTCTTTTAGCAATTTCTTCTGATATTTACCTGGAATTTTGATGCCATTTTCTTTATTGTCTTTCAGCTTCTTGTATTACTGATTTTGGAAGGTTTTCGTGTTTTGCTTTGCCCTGGAGTTCTGAAATTTCATTTACTACATATAATGTAACTTGGTATACATCTTTTTTGTTTATTGTCCTTGGCACTCATGGTGCCCTCCTTTCAATCTGATATCCTTCAGTTCTGAAGAAGTTTTTGTATTGTTTCTTTGATACAAATGTTCTTTGCTGCATCTTTTCTCTTCTTGAACTTTTCTTATTTTTCCTCTTCTATTTTCAGTCTCTGTCTTGGTTTCTATTTTCAGGGAGATTTTATAGGCTTTATCTTCTGAACCATTATATTGATTTTTAAAAATGTATCCTGATTTTTTTTTCATTACTAAAAATTCTTCTTGTTCTCTGAATGTTTCTTTTTAATTTTTTTAATGTATTTTTTCACAGGATGCAATAACTTTTTCTGTTTAAGGATATTAACTACAGTTTTTTGATGGTTTCTCCCATTTCCTTTATTTTTTTTCTATTTGTTTGAACTCTGTCTTTCATTTTGTTGGCTTTTTAAAACTGATTGAAGATCCTCAGATGTCTGTTCATATTTAAGAGAGGTCAAGAGGAGGAGTTAAAGCTTATTTAACCTCTAGATTTCTTTTTCTTAGATCTAGTTATTTAGAGAGCAATCTTCCATTCCCTTGTCTACGGGAGGATGGCGGGAAATAAGCCCGGCTGCCAGTGTTTTGAGAGCCTACAGAGAGAATCAGCCGGGAGGCTCACCATTCCTTATTCAGGTTTCACTCAGCCCCTCTATTTTCAGTAAGAGGCCTCACATACTTTCTCAGCTACACCAGTTTCCTTTGAGCTTACAGCCTTTCTCAGTTAGCCTCCTCAGAGAGCAGGCCTCCTGTTTTGTATAGGAGAAGGTCAGCTGCCTGGCTTCGAGGCTAAGGCATGAGACACTGTTCTTACAGATTTTCAATGCATCTGCCTGTTTTTTTAGTCCCACCTCAGCCTTCCAAAATGCCAGGATTACAGATGTGAGCCACTGCGTCCATCCCTTTGCCCATTTTTTCTTTTTTTTTGAGATGGAGTTTCGCTCTTGTTACCCAGGCTGGAGTGCAATGGCGCGATCTCGGCTCACCGCAACCTCCGCCTCCTGGGTTCAGGCAATTCTCCTGCCTCAGCCTCCT